TTGACGAATGTCTCTTTTCTTTTATGTACACTGAGAGCATTTGCACCCAGACAAATCCCTTGTGTGTCCAATCACACTTGGCCAATAAAGAATTCTATATCTTCTATATCTAATTCCAGGTTGCTTTTCTCCTTGATTAGTTTCCATCCGTTGCTTCTTGTCCTGCCTGCTTTGGAAAATAAGTTGTCTCCCTTCTCTTTGTGGCAGCCCCTCAAATATTGGAAGACTCCTCCTTAGTCCTCCTTTTCTCTAGACTAGCCATACCCAGTTCCTGAAACGGTTTGTGTTTCGTGTGTTTTAGCCTCCAGGCCTTTCATCATCTTAGTTGCTCTTCTCTGCACTTTTTCTAAAGTCTTGTTCCAAATTTCAATAGAACCAGCATCCTGGGACATGGAAGAACATTCAGCACAACTTGCGTCTCCTGGTAAAGCCATAATGCGCCCAGGCGCTGCGGTAGAGACATATAATTGATGCTTTTTAACAGGCAAGAGCACTTCTAAGCATGAATGCCAGCCTTTATTATATGCATAAAGCTTCAAGTCTAGCAAGTAATGTGATTTCAACTTATCAGCACAGCACGCAGATATAATATCATTATGATTATAAAAATCCTATTTCCCAGAAAGATTAAATGCATTATTAATATTTTCTTGGGTAGCACGTAGCGTGTAATCTAAGCATAGCTATCCTTATTCCGGGCCACTCTTCTTCAAAATAAAGTGATTTATCTGTCATATTTACCATCAAAGGTTTTAACTCACACATAACTTTATGCAAGAGTTACTACTACTCAGGTGATGATCATCGGAAGTCTCTCCTGACGGACACACAAAGGAGACAGGAATGGAAACTGGCCGATCCAAAAGGCTGAGCATCGATCAGTCGATGCCAAAATTCCACCTCCTGCAATATTTATTTATTTATTTTTAATTTCTGTGCCTCGTTTTAATTAACAACTCAAGGGGGTTGAATCAGAGGTGGGATTCAGCAGGTTCTGACCAGTTCTGGAGAACTGGTAGTGGAAATTTTGAGTAGTCTGGAGAACCAGCCAATCCCACCTCTGACTGGAGATTTTTGCAGTATCCTTTCCCTGCCACGCCCACCAAGCCACGCCCACAGAACCGGTAGTAATAAAAATTTGAATCCCACCACTGGGGTGAATGTATATAATCCACCATCCTCCTCCTCTTTTGTATACAATAACAACAATGAGGGAGGGAGGGAAGGAGGGAGGGAGAACATGAGGCACAGGCCAGGAAGG